TGTGCTGATACAACCATAGCCAGGCCTCTCGAGATGGCAAAGGAGACTACTTGTTTGACAGGGGTCTGAACAGTAAGGAGGGAAGGAGGCAGATGAAATACATGGATGGATGCATGAGTGGGTGGGTGGATGGATAATATTCTTACTGTCCAGGCTCCCAGGCTTGCAGTCATTCTGCCTGTAAGCACAGTCTTCTTGTTTGTTAACTTACAGGTCAACAGTGGCCAGTGCAAAGTGACTGGTGTCCAGCTTCCCACAGAACACTCCTGCAGCAGTATTTGAAAGAAAGCATAAAAATAGATCATTTGGAAGAATTCCAGTGACCCTTGTCACCCTTTTCTGGCAAAGGAAGTGGAGGAAGTGGGGGCAGAGAGAAGACTGCAGGATTCCTGAGATCCCAAGACACCAAGCATATGCCCCCCTCCCCCAGTTCCGGCCTGGCCTGGAAGGGATGCTAGGCAGAGGTCTCTGTGCCCTTAAACTAAGGGCACTAATTACACACACCAGCTTGGAGCAAACCTGGAAAGTGGGATGAGCTTGGGATTCCAAACTAGATAGCCACCCCCCTTCTCTGTATTTGAACAGCAGAAGGAAAATATGAGTGTGATTTCCAGCAGCTAAATGGTTGTGTGGTCATTACCCCATCGGATCTCTCCTTATTTTAACAGGGGAGGACTGAATGCTGCAGGAAGGCAGAGTTTGGAAGGACTGGGTCTGCCCTGTAAACCCTCTGAGTAGTTGCTTTAAGAACCTGTTGCCCCTTCTGTGATGTCTGTGTATCCCTTTCTCTGAAGGACATAGCTAAGGGCAAAAGAGACCCCACAATGTCCATGCTACTTTGCAAGGGACAGTAGAGATGGAGATTTCACAGATGCTTCATCCCAGTTGTAGAGGTCATTCTCCTCTTTCCCTCACCATTTCTGTCACTATATTGGGTAATTTCTAGGTTTGTTTTAGATGCAGACTTGAGGAAATAGATCTGAGATCCTAGGACTCACCATCCCTGCTGGTGACATTCACCAGCAGTATTACTATGACCCTCGTGTTGAAGTTAAAGAACCCTGGCCATTATTCCGTCTGCTCTTCTTAGGAGTGGATTTCTGGAAACCTGTGAGGGCCGATCTGCAGGCGTGTGCTTGATTGGTGGCTGTATCAGTGCCTAGAGTAAGATCTCAGCATCCCACTCTGTGGGATCTCTATTTTATGCACTATACTGTCGGCAGGGACAGTACACAGGAGAACTTACTTACCAAGGTGTCCCAAACTCTGGATTCCACTCTTCTCACATACAAAACAGGTAAAGCCCCTATGGGTCCTGTGGCCCAAAAGGAAGCCCCTTAAGATGACAGCTCTGTTCCTGTACTGTGTAGGTGCCATGCAAACTGGTATCTCCACCAGTGTCTTCTTGGTTTTGCAATGTGGTCATCAGACTTGCTCATCATCCTGCTGTCTTAAAAAAGCAGCTAGCACCCGTGTGTCTGTGAGTGCAAAGGTCCAGATAATAACTGCATTTGCTGCTGAGGCATTAAGCTGTGGGAGAGGGCTGCCTTTTGCTGACAAGCATTTCTGAGTGCAGGCTGGGGAAGGAGAACTTCAGAGGAAATGACACCAGCTGCCCGGGCGTCCCTGCATGAAGCGCTTTGCATGCACATACAGGCTGGTGCTTAGGGAGCTGTTTCTGTAAAGAAAGGGTTAAGCACTGACGCAAGGCCAGGGACAAGAGGGAACCACACAGCCACAGTGCCCCCAGAGTTGGGGGTGCTAATGAATGATAAACAAAGCCACTTTCATTGGAAGTGCTGGGCTTGCTGTTTTTTTGTTTGTTTGTTTGTTTTTTGTTTTTTTTTTTTTTTTCTGGGAAAACAGAAGCCAAGTGATAACAGGAGCAAATGGGATTTGATTTTTCTCCCTGAGCTCATTTGAAGGGAATCATTGGCACCATGTAGGCATATTCAATGCGTCTGAATCTTGGCATGGGGTCCCCAGATCCTCAAGGCGCAGGGCCTCAGCAAGTAGAGACAGGAGTTGTGAGGATTGCCCTATGATGCGTGCGGTCTTTTGGAGAGCAGCCGTCACAGGAACAGATGCTGAGCACCACACTTCTCCATGCCTTGCTGGCTTGTATGTAGTCCTCGGACAGTGTTACTTCACTGAAGAACTGCCCTTAGGATTCCAAAGATCTGTGCTGCTTCTTGGGCCTAGATCTGAGGGGTGGCTCACACTTCCTTCTACGCTCCAGCCAGACTCTGGCAGAACTTCCACATCCTGCTTTGAACTTCAGCTCTACGCTCTAAACCAGTCATTCCTTTTCATCTGTTTGTCTGTCCATTTGTCCACCTCACCCATCCATCCATCTATACATCCGTCTTTCTTTCCTTTCTGCCGTCCACCTAACAACCCATTCATCCATCCATCCTTCCTTCCTTCCTTCTACCCACCTAAACATCTATTCATCCATTCACCCATCCATCCATTCGTCTGTCCTTCCATCCATGCATTTGTAATGTGCATGACCAGAGCAGAGCTTCCTCAGTGTACCACCAGAAAAGGGTGGGGACAGCTTCTTCCCATGAGCAGCAGGCCAGTGGTAGGTGTTCTTCAAGCCTGTTGTGCTTACCTGAAGCCCACTGTCCTTCCAGGCCTCCGTCAAATGCCGCCTCCACTATGTTGTGGTTTAAATGTGAATTCTAACCCTACTCCCCCGCCAGGCTCCCGTGTTTGTGCACATATGATCCCCTGTTGTTTTCACTGTTCTGGAAGGTTATGGAAGCTCGGGGGCGGGGGAGGGGAGTGTCTTACTGGAGGAAGTGGATCATTAGGGGCGGGCCTTGAGGTTTTATGATGTTTCCTGCCCACTCTTTACTTCTGAGTGTGGACACATCAGCTGTCTTATTTTCTGCTTTCATGCATACCCCACCATGGTGGGCTGTATTCGCCTAAACTGTCAACAAAAACAAACTGTTTCTCCCTTAACAGCGACAAGCAGAGTAACTGATAAACTCTAAAAGGCATCTAAGCTCTCTCTAGACAGAGGGGAGTCATCCCAGGGTTCCCTAGAAGCCCCAGCACACCTCCCTCCAGGCCTCAATCTCTGACAAAAGCTCACCTCTCACCTCTCGAGAGCAGGACCATGCTGGCATCACTCCCTTGTTCTGGTTTTCTTTTTTTCATACATCTTAGAGGGAAAATAAATGCAGATGGATATGAATGAAGGTTAAGTTACCACCTGGAAAACAGCGAGGGATGGCTTAAACAGTGTGAATATTTGTTTCTCTGCCGTGGTTGCCACAGAAAATTTGAAGGATGGATTTGGACCATACAGTTAGTTAATTGGTACACCAAACGTTTATTTTTAAACATTTATTGTGGATTGTTCTGGGTGGAGTAAGACAGATACACCTGTCCCAAGGATGTAAAGATAAATCTCAGATCATACAGGCATTCACCTGACACATCAGGACTGGGTTTTCCTATACTGAGAATTTTAATAAGAGCTGCAAAAATTAGCACAAAAATTGGTGCCCCGTCAAGGCCCCCCAAATGGACAAGGCACCACTTTGAAGGTTTTGTCTTGGTTTTCAGAAGTTTTCCTTTTTCTTTTTCCATATTAAGTAGCAGTATGCCTTTTTAAATTACTCCATTGTGGTAATCATGGTGGTTTTCTTTTGATTTGAGGTTTGACTTCTTTGGTATTTGGTAAGTTCTCATTAATATCTTTTCCAGCATGGCTTCAGCTTCACGCAGTGCCCACTCAGTGTGGGGCTCCAGGGATGCAGAAGTGGACATTTTCCTCCTGGCACTGGTCTCTCTGGCCCAGTTTGCATTTTCCATCCTTGCTCCAGTGTCTTCCCATGTGTTTCCTCCTCTCCCCAAGTCTGCTTTCTCCCCTGCTGAGTCCAGTCCACTACTGAAGTCCTCAATCCCACACTTATTTTAATTTAGAGTTTCTACTTGATTATCCTTGGGTACTCAGGTTCTTTGTTGAAAGGTGAATTTCTCTCTTGTTTCTTTATAGTCTGTATGCTTTAACTCTAGTTTTTGAATCAGCTATATATTTTTTTGTTGTTGTTGGGATTTTGTTTTATCTTGCTTGGGAGGGTGGTGCTTGTTTTCTCTCATGTTTCCTGAAAACATTTTAATAAGAAGTTTAAGATTTATCAGAATTAAAGTGAGATGGAGTAGGAGACAGGTTGGAGAGGGCGGACTGTTCCTCAGACATGGTATAATTTTGAGGAGCGACTGGATGGAAGCTGTTCTGTCTGTGGTGCCCTGGTGCTTAAGGCAGTGAAAGCTTTTGTGATTGGCCAGGGTCATGTTTCCTGGGTGCGTTTCCCACACATAGGTTTTTGTTCCCACTCAAAGGAGACTACCCAAGTCCTGTCAGGATTTACTATGCATTTGGTGCCAGCCCGTGAGGCTTAGGACTGAGAATGCCTGACTTGTTCCAAGTCCCCCTTCTCTGCGACCTTGACCTTCTTGGTCCCAGATGCCTTGGCAACTCTGAACCTGCAACCTCATCTCCCAAGAATAGTATGTAGCAGATCGTATCTGTGCACCATGGTCCCTGAACATGCAGCCTCCGAGTCACTAATATGGGAGGGTGGGGAACAAAAGGAAAGGTAAGCATTCCAGACAGTAGCTCTGCAGTGCCTGCACTCAAGGGAAGAGAGCATCTCTGCAGAGAAGGTTCCTGCTGGTTTACAGGGTGGACCATGTATGTCTGTCCCTCATTCAGGAGAGCCACCTCAGGATGGACAGTGCACATGGGGAATTGGCTGTTTTCCCTTTTGGAAACAGTGACAGGTGACAATCTGCACAAAGTAGAACACAGCCACCCCCACCAACCTTCTGTGTTGTTGGGCTCCTGGTTCACTGTGGCCATGAGCAACAGGAAACTTCAGAAGTCAGCTTAGCTCATTATGAACACGTGGAAGGGGTGAGACTGTGACTTTATGGATCACTCAATCAGGATCTCTCTGCTTTCTGTTTCCTTGCTTCAGAACCACGAGGCTGCCCAGAGACTATCACCCACACCGTGGGGATGTCAGAGAGCCCCATTGGACCCAAACCCACCATGCTTCGGGCTGATATGCCTGCAACACCCAACTTTCAGCAGGTGTTCGCATCTTCCTGCACAGTTTCAAGCAATGGCCCCGGCCAGAGGAGAGAGAGGTAGGACAAGAGGCTTCAGCCTTGTCATCAGAGGCCGAAGTGCTGAGCTGAGAAAGGAGTGGGTGAAGCGGGTGTGACCCCACTCAGGCATTGTGGAGACAAGCCTGTGCCTGGGGCGGTGTGCTGGACACTGCCAATCAGGGACCATGGTCTTGTACACTGGCACATGGAAAATACACAAACACAGAGGAAACTCTGTCCTAGTTGTGTTGGAAAGGAAGAAAGGGGCTGTGGCAAACCAAACTGTCTCTCTGTTTTACAAAGATGCAGGCTTTGAGGAACTCAGGAAGGCCAGCTGCCACCCTGGCCCAGGGGAAAACTAAACTGCCCCATGTTTCGTGTACAGGTTCCCAGTTTCCCTTCACATTACAATAAAGAGGGCCAGCTGTATGTGGTGTGGGACACGCCTTTAATCTCAGCACTCAGCCAGGCCAATATCTCTGAGTTCAAGGCCAGCCCGCTCTACAGAGTGAGTTCCAGGACAGTCAGGGCTGTTAAACAGAGAAACCCTGTCTTGAAAAACTAGTAGGTAGGTATATATATATATACACACACACACACACACACACACACACACACACACAATAAAGGGGGTCTTCTAAGGACTTGACATCACATATAGAGTCTATACCTAGTGTGTGTCAACTTAAATATGTGTATGTTGCAAGAACTGTCTTTTTAGTGGTTTTCCCAAGTTCCTGAATGTGGTAATTCCCAGTAAAGTTGTCCCCCTGTCTACAGGAGATAAGATCTTATGGGTTAGTTGATGCCTGAAATCCTAGACAAGAACAAATCCTATATATAATAGGTTCTTTTTTTTCAAGCTTACATATCTATAATAACTTTGACCACTTAAGTACATTACAGATTCGATTTGGCCTAGCCAATCAGCCAGTGTCTCTTGCTCTTTGGGGCCATTTTTTTTTAAATGTATCTTTATTTTTATTGTATATGTGTTTTTCCTGCATGTGTGTTTGTTTACTACATGTATGCCTGGTCCCTTTGGAGGTCAACAGAAGGCAGCAGATGCTCTGGAACAGGAGTTACAAGCGGCTGTGAGCCACTGTGTAGGTGCTGGGAATCAAACCCTGCTCCTTTGCAAGAGCATCCAATGTGCTTAACCACTAAGCCATCTCTCCAGCCTTTTTGGGGCCATTTTTAAATAGTACATTTTGAACACAAATACATACCATGTCAGCCAGTCATCTAATTACTGACTAAGAGCAGGTAGGCAGCATATGCCAATTGGATATGCTGAATAAGGGACAATACATATCCTGGACATGATTAAGTAGGATTCATCCTTCCACTCAGAATGACATTTAAGACTTAGCAGTTCTTTATTTCTAGAATTTTCCATTCATTATTTTTAGAAAGAAATCAACCTGGGTCAGCGAAACACATATAAGGAATGGGGGATTCTGTGTGCTACCCAGCAAGCCTCAGGACTCACTTCCCCAACCCTGTCTCACCTGTGTCTTGTAACAGTTGCTGGTTTCGAGACACCTGTATGTCCATTACATTCCTTTGTGGCTGTGTTTGTTTTTTGAACAGCCCAACTTCTGCAGAACGCCAGTGGGTAGAGAGCAGCCCCAAGTCCACCCTAACCCTCCTGGGGAACAGCCACTCATCTGAAAGTCCCCTCGGCACCCACGAGTTCTGCAGCTCTGGTAAGAACTCGCCAGGGCTGGCCTGCTTCCAGTCCACGGAGCTCCAGGCCTCTTTCCACAGCCATGAGCTGTCCATGTCGGAGCCTCAGGATGCTCTGCCTCCTGCAGGCAGCCAAGCCTTCCTAGGCTTCAACACTGCCCCAGTAACAAGCGGCCTTCCGCCTGGCGAGGACCCGGGCGCCTTGCTGGTCAATTCCCACGGCACATCGCCAACTCCCGGAGCCCCTCTGACAACGCCAGGGGCTGCCGACAGCGGCTTCCTGTCCCACAACTTTCTCACGGTGTCACCTGGACCCAGCAGCCACCACAGTCCAGGCCTGCAGAACCAGAGTGTAAGCTTGCCTGGTCAGCCGCCCCTCCCTGAGAAGAAGAGAGCCTCGGAGGGAGATCGCTCTTTGGGCTCAGTCTCCCCTTCCTCCAGCGGCTTCTCCAGCCCCCACAGTGGCAGCACCATGAGCATCCCCTTCCCAAATGTCCTTCCAGACTTCTGCAAGCCTTCAGAAGTGGCCTCACCTTTGCCAGGTATGTCTTCGCATCTGCCGGTCCCCTCAGGAGAGGAGCACTCTGGGGTTTCTTTCCCATATGAGCTGGTCTCCAGTGCTAAGTCAGGTGTCCTGTAGGAAATGTTTAGACCCCTGGCTGGTTCTCTCCTATCCTGCTGGCCTGAAACCAGGCAGATCCAGTGCTTCCTCCTTAACTGGCTGTAGATTCATGGCAGCAGGAGACAGTGCAGATGCCACCTTCTCTTTGACTTGAATGGGTCTGTCTTTGAGAGTTACTTTCTTTCTTCATAGTTAAATAATTAATCCAGAAATGAGTTGTGAACTTTCAGGTGTTTGACACCAGCCTTGCTACCCTGTTTCTTTTTTTTTTTCCCCTTGAGATTGAAAGCATCTTTGTTTTGCATTGTACCATGAGGCACTGGCTCTCTTTTCCAGTCAGTCCTGTGAGCTATGTTCCCTAACCCCTTAAGAACTTTATGTCCATTCCTCAAACCTAGCCCATGGATTTGGACTTGTAGCATCATCATAAATGAGGCAGCAGTACAAGTATTCTGTATTAAAATTTTTTTTCACAGAGAGCCCAAATGACAAACTCGTGATTGTGAAATTTGTTCAAGACACTTCCAAGTTCTGGTACAAGGCCGACATCTCAAGAGAACAAGGTAGGTGGGGACAAGGGACCCCTTGCCTTGTCAGTCATACTTTGTCTCTGGGTCCTTCTTCTGGGGCTCCTTGTGGTAGCTGTGGTGCAGATGAGCTTAGAACAAAACACACCTTTATCATAGACCACTTGGGACCATTCCACAGTCTTCACAGTTGGATTGGGAAAACTCAGTACATACAGGTGAGGGTTTGGGTGAGAAATGGGTCAAGGTGCATGCATCCCAGTGTGTGACCTGTGGACATCGGCCGCTTTACTAGGCCAGCAGCTCACCAGGCATGCCAGCCCACCACCGCTTTGAGGAAGAGACAGTCAGTCTACTGGTTCAGGTCTCCACTAAGGACTCCACTAAGGTCCTGAGCTCCAGAGAAATGCAGAAAAAGAGCCATGGAGGAGAGAGCTACACCAGGGACTGTCAAGCTTGGTGGCTGCAGGCCATGAAAGGGAACGGAGGGTTTAGAGTGCTCCTTACAGCAGGCTTCCTGTAGCCTGCGTGGACCTGCCAACATTGCCCGCCTGGTTATCGCAGTGTGCAAGGGGCTTATAGGCCTTCCATATGATCATCTCTCAGGAAAGCTAGTTTTCTCCCTGAGATTCTGCCATTAGATTTTAGAGACGATAGAAACTGTGAGACTCTAGTCTTCCTGGGAGCTCAAGGAATCTGTTGTCATTTTAAGTGGGAAAGAAGCAGGGAAAACAACCATGGCCTGGAATGACTTTGTTTCCTTTCAGCGGCCTTTGTAGAAGGCTGGTCCAGTCCAAGGGCTCTGCAGAACAGTCTTGTGTTGCCAGTGACCTCATGTTCTCCTCTCTCTGGTCTTCCTGCTTAGCAGCACAGATACAAAGATGGTATTTTCCTTAATCCATGTTAATCTGCTGAGCAAGGTTCCCAGTGGCCCAGGTTGCAGAAGCAGCTGGGAGAAGGGACTGTCTTAGTCCATCTTCTAGGGCTGTCACAGAGCACCTGAGATTTGGATGACATATAAAGAATAGGCATCCTGGAGGTGGGATACTCTAAGCATTTCAGCACCAGTGTCACGCTGTTGAAAATTGAGGAGCAAGTGCAGAAATGCAGAAGAGAGGAGACATAAATGGTCACCTTGCTCTCTAGAATAGTCCACGTTCAAGCAGCTGAGCCATCCCTGGCACCATCACCCAATCCCAGGAGAACAGTATTCTTCCACTGCTGAGCATCAGAACTTGGACTACAGTGATTTTCAGAGGCGGAGCCACACTGAAAGCATAGCCAGAGCCATCTCATCGTCTGGGGGGCAGTGACGGTCACCCCGCACAGTCACCCATACCCTTCTCTCTCCTAGCCATTGCCATGTTGAAGGACAAAGCTCCTGGGTCATTCATCGTGAGGGACAGTCACTCCTTCCGAGGGGCCTATGGCCTGGCCATGAAGGTGGCTACACCTCCTCCTTCTGTCTTGCACCTGAACAAGAAAGGTAAGGTCCCATGGAATTGGCGGGGGCGGGGGGGGGGGGCAATGCTCATGGTTTAACAATGTCAGATGGATGGCAGCTGCTCTCACTGCTCTGTTTAGTATTTGATTTATAAGATTACTTCTTTTAGTAGTTATTTGAGAACATGCATCATGTATACGTTTATCTTCCTTTGTTTTAAGCAATTAATGTTTTCCGTAATACAGAAGACCAGTGGTTCTCAATTTTTCTAATGCTGAGACCCTTTAATACAGTTCCTTGTGTCGTGGTGACCCCAACCATAAAATTATTTTCATTGCTGCTTCATAACTGTAAGTTTGCTAGTTACGAATTGTAATGCAGATCTTTGTGTTTTCCAGTGGTCTTAGGCAACCCCCGTGAAGAGGTTGTTTGCCACCCACAGGTTGAGAACCACTGTAGTAGAGCCAAAACCCCAGTAACTACCCTGTGTCTGTGTCTGCCCTTCCTCCCTTGGGTGGCCACATGTAAGACATCGCTGCATGATTTGTCACCAGCAGCCAAACACTAATCATTTTGTCTACTTTTAACTGGCAATGAGAAAACAAACTAACGTAGTTCATATTCTTACATGTCTTGTTTTGGGTCAGAATTCTGTGATTCATCAAAATTCTAAAATTTTGAGCCCTTACTTTCTTTCATAACTCTCTGTTTTGTTTAACAAATATGTTGTCTTTTTTTTTTATCATTATTGCTGGACTTTTTCATGTTTTCACTCATCCGCCTCTCTGCCCCTACATTTAAGCGTCTTTACCATCGTATCAACTCCAGCAAGGAAAAGTTTCCTTTGCTTCTTTTTACTGCCAAAGTAATCAGTTTGGACTGTGGAAAAGAATACCCCCCCAGGTCTTGAGGTGTGTGCCGTTGTCACTGAGTGACTGCATGTCCAGCTTAATTCTCCTATCACTCATGATAAGGCTCACGATGGCTCCCGGTTTTAGAAGGTTCTGCTCATTTGGTTGGCTCTGGCACTTGGCCTGTGGTGAATCATTGTAATAGTGTGACTGTGCAACAGAGCAGAGGAATCAGAGTAAGCACAGATGTGTCACCTGTCTGTCCCATCCGTGCCTGGATCTGAGAAAATCTGTCCACACTCTTACATGAGATCTGTGCTGAAAGCTTCTCGGAGCCAACAGTTCCGAGCTGCCCCGAGAAGATAAAATGTGGTTGCAGACGGACCAGCCTTAGGCCCAGGTGGCGGCCCTGTTTCTAGGAATGTACTTGTCTTGCAAGGCTGGGAGTGAGGTTGGGAAATGCCTGGGATTCAGTCAGAGAGCGCAGCCCGCAAGCCTGCGGGTGCTGACTGACAGGGCTTCTGGTAAGGGAACAGGAGGCTTGTGGTGAGGAGGAAAGTGACATCTCACAGATGTGGCCTTGTAGAACATCTAGGACTTCAGTGTAAGAAGCTCAACAGAACACTACTGCTGGGGAAATATGGCCTTTACCACTGCGTGCTCATTCAGACCTGGCTGGTGAGGACGGACAGGCCTTACTTGGAAGCACTGGTTAGTGGCAGGTGAGGAAAAGGCTTAAAATGTCTGGGAACATTTCCTGCCTTGGGCAGACTTCCTAGTGAGTCTGCGGAGGAGGGAACAAAATAGAGGCTGTGTGACTAGCAGATGTCAGGAAAGCGAACAGGGTGGTCTTCACTGGCTGAAAATCGTCTTGCCTGTGTCCATCAGGCCTGGATTTGACATTTGTGCTTCACAGTCCAACAGTAGATTTGAGAGAAGAGTTTGCCAAATGAGTGAAGAGCCAGTGAGTCACTGTGCCACCTCCAGTCTTCCTGTGGCCATTCTAGACTCTGCATTCCACAGAGCGCTTGGCAGCAGGATCCTCATGGGGCCATTTCCCACAAGCAGAATCCAGACCTTCTGTGGGGTTTCTCCTTCGACTTCAAGCCCTGCATCTTTCTCCCACAGAGGAGGCGTCATGTGCTCATTCCCTCTGTTTTATTTGACACAGACTTTCATGGAATCATGTCATCCCTTCTCTGCAAGCTAGACAACCCGTAAAAGTGCTGACACACACTGCTACCAATGTGTGTTATTGCTTATAAATGTCATTTGGAGCCTAGTTCCAGCTTAGTATCCCTTATCAGAAATGGCCCAAAACAGATATAGCCAAGGTTTCTGATAATTTTCACATTTCAGAGATAGCTTGGGAATGAGGCTCAAGTCTTTAACATTAAATTCCTTCAGATTTTGTGTAGAATTCATACACATTGCATACATACCAAAGGTAATGTTATGTAGTATTTTCCCTATTCTCCACATGAAACAAAGTTTCATGATTGTGCAACCTTCCGTTTATAGTCTCATACTGGTACTCAAAATTTGCCAGATTTTGGATTTGGGGATTAGGAATATTCAGCCTACACAGGCTCTATAGAGTCTGGCAACCCCTCCAAGCACAAATCCAGCAGGTCTGGCTACCAGGAACTTCCACTATCAGCAGTACTGAGAGACCAGCTCTTACGTAGGGTGCTGAGGAGAGAGACACAGCATACAGGGTAGCTACTGACTTTAGCAGCTTGGGGCAGTGACTGCTGTTTTCTCCTGGTTCAGTCTGTACTTTTCCATTCAGTGGCTTCTCCTCGTGCCTCTTCTCTTTGGGTTCAGCAGCTGGCTTGAACACAAATGTCCTGTTTTCTAGCAGTTTGGTAGAATGCTGCTCCTACATAGCAGAATGCTTGTTGCCGAAGGCGTTTCTGTACCCAGCTGGCAGCTCCGCCTCACCCGGAGGGTTGGCATCTTTCCAGCTCTCTACTGAAGTCTTTTCTGCCGGAGCCTTAGTGGCCTTTCCTCGCTTGGAGGAATGCAGCCAGTGCTCCAAGGCCAGGGTCCTTCTGAGCTGCCAGTTCATCTCTTCTCTGGGAGTTTTGGTAGTGTCAGACAGTGTCTCTCAGGGACTCTCGTAGTCTCCACATTTTCACTCCAACAAGTTTTACCATCCACTTGGCTTATGGCCCAGCCCACCCAACCATCCCAAAGGTAGTTCTAGGTAGCCCTATAGTGCAGTGCTTTAATCCTGTTAAGAGAATTCTTAGGTGTAGCTCTTAGCTTTTATATCTGCAGAAGGCATCTATTTTATTTTTAAGTCTCTGCCTGCCTACCCCTCTGTCTATCTATAAATCCATGATCTATTTATTTCTGTGTCTCCTTTCTCTTCCCCCTACTCTGATTCTCCTATGCCCTAAATTTAATTTATTTTTTTTTTTTATTCTTTCTACAGCTGGAGATTTGTCCAACGAACTTGTCCGGCATTTCTTGATTGAGTGCACCCCAAAGGGGGTGCGATTGAAAGGGTGCTCAAATGAACCATATTTTGGTGAGTTACTTGAGAAGCAGTTTTGATACTTAATGGGGTAGGAATTCCCTCTTTCCAGTGGCTTGAGACTCCAGGGCCTCTGTGCCACGGTGGGTTGCTCTCATTCCAGCCTCGAGGTCTTAGGCTGCCATTGGGGTGCTTAAGATAGACTAAATGTGCAGTTGTTCTTCAGAAGTTTTGTCAAAACCAAATAATCGGAAAGGATCCTCCCAGAGCTAGACTAAGTCAAGGTGAAGGTCATCAGATGGGTCCCAGCAGGACTGGAGCCCAGTGTGACTCTATCTCTCAGGCACAAGTAGGAGGAGCACAGAGCTGCTACCAGAGCCTTCCCACTTCTTTGTAAATTGAGAGCCTTTCACAGTCTGGATACATCGGGTCAGCCTTGTTTCCTATTCAGTAAGAAGCACCTGGCACTTCGTACTTACAAAAGCGATATGCTTGGAATAGACCGCAAGTCCCTTGGTGGACCTCTTCATTGTCTTTCGACCTTGTCATTTCTTAGAGCTTTGGGTTATACGCATTCCACAGTGGTAAAAACGCGTGGCTTTTGGAATTTTGGACTCAACTGATTCTTTGACTAAAACACACAGCAGGTGAAGAAGTTGGTGATGCTCATTTATTCTTATCCACTTTGCAGGGAGCCTGACAGCTTTGGTGTGCCAGCATTCCATTACGCCCCTGGCTTTGCCCTGCAAGCTCCTCATTCCTGAGAGAGGTATGGATGGAGGCTTCCATGGTAGACTGGCTGTGTGTAGGATCTTCTGCACTGCTCATAGCGTGCTGCTCCCAGGACCCACAGAGATCCTTTCAAAAATAATCAAAGATACTTCTTTATGGCATGTGATCTTCGCAAACCCCAAAGAAAGCTGGTGGCCACCTGAATTGAGAAAGGAGAGGGCCGTGCTGCAGACAGTGCACATTGTGGCCTGTATGACAGGTTTCCAGAAAAACAGACTTTTCAACTTAAAGATGGAAAACACTTGGGGACTGGAGAGATAGTTCAGTGGTCAAGGCTGCTCTTCCAGAGGACCCAGGTTCATTCCCAGCACTTATATCAGGTGGCTTCCAACCATCTGTAAGTCCAGTCCTAGGTGATCTGGCCTCCTTGAGCACAGGCAGTCACAGGTCCATAGACATGTATGTAAAATGTGTATATGTAAATAAGTAGTTAATACACAAACACATTCTCAGACTGATTTTCAAGTTCACTTGATTATAGATTTACAGTTGTAAAAATTGGAAAAGATAGTTAAATTTAGGTCATGGACAAATTACTTTTGTATTTGTTAGAAAATAACCATAATAATTTTTAAAAATTAATATCCAGAGGATATGGGGCCTTGATTATGTGTTCCAGCTTTCTTGTAGATAAATGGAGTTTGTCTTTTAAAATCTGATCATTTATGTAAATGAATTCAGAGACCAGGAAACTGTTTTAGGGACCATGCCAACCCCATCTGTGTTCAGAATGGGATTGCAATTTCTGTGGGCTGGATTACTGTCTCTCAAGAGAAAGTTAACTCGCTGTCACTGTCTGGGAATTCTGTCATCAAATTATCCTTACCGTGTGAACTTCTGTGTCAAAAGCACTCATTTCTCCTCTTGCCCCTCTTCTGCAGATCCACTGGAGGAAATAGCAGAAACCTCTCCCCAGACAGCAGCCAACTCGGCAGCCGAGCTGCTGAAGCAGGGGGCAGGTCAGTGGCCTTGCTTTCTGTATCTCTGCATCTCCGAGTCATTGGGCAGAACCGAACTCCATGATAGAACTTCCCTTTAGACAGTCATTTCCTGCTTTTCTGTATACTGTGAAGGACGTTTCCTTTTATAGATGCTTGGCACAGCTGGGTGGGGCACAGCTGTGAGGTGACCTAGCCAGGGCATAAGAGGCTGGAACTATTGGTCTGACTTGAACAAGACCAAATTCAGTGGAATAAATGTCAAGTCCTGTATTTAGTGTGGGGGGTGGGGGTGCAGTAAGGCAGGATGTGGGTGACCTGCCTTGCCAGCTGAAAATGCAGAAATGTTCTAGAGCTTTGACTCAACAGTAAGGCAACATGAGTCAACTGCTGGCCCCACTCTGCCATCTGTGTGGTGAGGCACACCACCCAGAGCCACGTCTCTGGAGACCAGACCACTTTGATGAGACCTTTATTAGTAGACTTTGCTTCCAAGATCCATTTTGGAAGGTATAGAAGGTATAGAGATCACATGTAAAGGTCGGCTCTCCATTCACAGCATCCCACACCATAGTGTTAAAGCTGATGGGCTAGTGTGCTTGCATTAAGTAAACTTTATAGTTTTCTTAGGGCTCAGTCTTTTTACTTAAAATTTTTAATTTCTTGAAAAATTATATCATTTTCCTTCTTTATTTCCCCTACTATTTCTTCTATGCCTCCTACTCCTTGCCATATTCATGACTTCTTCTCCTTTAGTTATTATTGTTACACACACACACACACACACACACACACACACACACACACACACACACTCAGAGTCTACTGAGTCTGTTTAGTGTTGCTCATATGTACATGTGTTTAGGGCTGATCGTGTAGGATTTAATAACTCATCAGGGCTTTCACCCATGAAGAAAAGTGATTCTCCATGTCAGCAGCCATTGATTGATTGCCTGTAAGCTCTAAATTTCACAAGGCTCCACCCAGAGCTGTAGAGTTCACTCTTGGTGTTAATGGGCTTAATATTCATTCATCACTATCTTGTCACACAAAGTGTTTTCTTTGCCCTAAAATTTTCCTCTAATTTCTCTACTCATTTCTTCCACTTGGCCAAGGCCCTCATTTGCCACTCATCTTTTTATGGTCTTCAAGTTTTGGCCTTTCTAGAATGCCTTATGCTGTAAACACAAACTGTGTAGCATTTTCAGATTGGTTTCTTTTGCTCTAAGTGTCCTCCATGGCTTTTCATAGCCTTTTATGGTGGCTTCTTTCTCTGTGTATAGTGCAGGAGATCATGTATGTGTTCGTACTGATTTGCATACATATACACAGCAGAGGTCCATGCTGTGTACCCTCTTCAGTTATTCTGCACTTTATGATCATTTGCAACAAGAGTGTCCCTCTGCACCTGTAGCTCACTGATGTGGCTAGCTGGCCAGCAAGTTCCAAGGATCCACCTGTTTCTGTCTCCCCAGTGCTAAGATGACAGTAGTACATATCTAACTGTACACTGCCTTTGTGTGCTTGCTGGGGACCTGAACTCAAACCCTCAAGTTTGCAGCTTTCACTGCAAGCATTTTACCAACTAAAATATCTCCCTAGCCCTTGGTGTACCATCATTATTTAAACACACAGCGACTGAAGAATATCTGGGTTGCTTGTAAGTTTTGGCAAGTATGAATAAGGCTTCTAAAAACACCCAAATGCAAGTTTTTGGTGAATGCATGTCTCCAACTCCTTTGATTAAATATGAAGGAGCCTGATTGCTAAGTCATGTGGCAAGAGTATAGTTAGCTTTGCAAGAGACCATAGAACTTTTTTGAAATGTTTTTCTTACAAAGTGGCTCTACCATTTCGTATTTCCACCGGCAACGTAGAAGCATCACTTTGTTCTTCATTGTCAACTACAGGTGATGTCACTCTGAAGGATGTGCTCATTCGAGCAGGTGGATAGTGGTAGCTCATTGTTTTGCCATCTCCCTAGCGACATCTAAAATGCACTCTTCTAATGTAGGTCTGCCCTGTAAAGTAAAACACATCACTGTGACCGCTATACAGCCAGTGAAGATGTTCCCATTTTTAGCATGAAATATGTTAGATTTCCAAAAAGATGAGTTTGCTATAGACATAGCAAAGGTGACAGGGACTTGCCCCAGCCTGTAAGTGTGCCTCTGTGATATTCTGGGGTTTCAGCCTGACTGCCACTCAGAGGCTTGACATCTGACATGTGTACAGCTGTGTAGGCTTCAGGTTTATGAGGTTGAATGTCCCTATCCAGAAGAGCAAGAGTACACACTGAGAAAGGTGTTGGGATTGTTTTCCTGACCTGAGAGAAGAGCCTTTCCCTGGGTAGCCAGCCTCTCTTTTCCTCTTCTCTTCTGGTGCCTTTCAAGCCTGAGCCAACTGGCCCTGGGTCACAAACCATGGTTGCTACGGGCGACACACAAGAGATGTTTTGGGTGCTCCCAGAAGCCATGCTAGGTTGACCGATCCTGTTAGGACATTAGTATGGCCTCTAAATGATTTGGTTATTTGATTCTACCTCTTAAAAATATACTTGAAAATTAAACAAACAAACAAACAAACAAACAAAAAACCTGTAATTTTTTGTTTGTTTGTTTTTTAACACCACGATTATGTATCAACACTATTTAAAAAACAAATACCCTGAAGAAATAGGATCATGGTGACATGCCTCTCTGGGAGGACTCTCCTCATGGGGCTGGGTGGGTGGCATGGTCTCATCCCACTCCATGGTCAGAGCCAATGGGCATCTGGCCTATACCATCATCTGCATTTGTGTTAGCAATAGAGCTCTGGTTCTCAGCCCTGCATGCTTAGTGCCATGATGAATGTGTCTCTGCAGTCGCCTCCTTAGTTTACTACCTCATTGTAAGCTCTTTAACTAGCACTCATCCAGTCATTGTTGCACTTAGTCATGTTAATGGCCACTATTGCCCTTGTTTTAAGAAATTTTATTGCTTCTTTGAGAATTTCATATAATGTATCTTTATCATATCCTACTTCCATATGTTCCCCATCCAAACCTCATGTTCTCTTTTTTTATTTAATAACTTTCTGAGTCCAGTTATTTCTGCCTGTGTACTCATGGGTATGGGAAGCATGTCCAACCTATCAGGAACCACATCCCTTAAAGAAAACTGGCTCTCACCTCCTTTACCAGACATCAGCTGTCGCTAGCTCCTCAGCTAGGCTCAGGATTGGGGCTTGGGGCTTATGTGTCTCTTCCAGCTGTGTTGCAGTGTTGAATGGCTTAATCTTGTGCTGTTCTGAGTTCACAAATGTAGTAGTCGTGGCTGTGTCCAGCAGACATTGTTCTGCCCCAGTCTGCCATGACCCCTTACAGGCTCTTATAATCTGTCCAGCCCCTCTTCCATGATGATCCCTGAGTCTTGTATGGGTGGGTGTGTTACAGATGTCCCGTTGATGGCTACAGACCACTATTTTAAAATACATTGTCCCATCTTGTAAAATAACATTATGATTTTTTTTTTGAGTGTATGGGTTTTTCTAGTGATAAGACTTCATGTCAAACTGGGTAGCCTGTTTAATTATCTGCCTTAGGTATTAAGGGACTAGGCTTCAGTTAAAGCTGCCTTGAGATTCTTTTCTTTAGTCTGTAACACATCAGGAGTGTGGATTTCCATTCCGCTGCACACTACAAAGGCAAGGATTCGGCTCAGCAGATCTGGGGACAGGGCTCCCACCATCCTCGCCTGGGGACTAGCTATGGTTATTTAGAATAGCTGTAACACAGGCATTGTATTAAAAAGGTGACACGATGCTGATCTCTGACCACTGGTCACGCACATACATGCATGCGCGCGCGCGCGCACACACACACACACACACACACACACACACACACGTTCCACATCTGAATTCTATTTGTTATCTTGATCCTAGGACTCCTGCTAAGGTCCTTGGAAATGTCCCATATCTTCACAGTAGAAGCCTAAACCCAGGAACACTGCAGTCATCTCAAGATGGGAAATTTGATCCTAATGCCGTTATGAGTTTGTTCCAATAGCTGAAACAATTTGTTCCTGTATTTTAAGCCTCAATTCTTAATTGTTTCTTTTTGAAACTGAGGAGAAGTGTGAGCTAATCCCTACAAAAGAGACTCTTTCACCAGACTTCCCATAGGTCTGTAGATAATGTGGCTGTTTAGCTTAGTGTTCTGTGAGTATAATTTAATAAAGGTCATGTGTTCTTTTAAGTTTTTTTTTTAATAAAAAGCACAGCAATGCTGAAGAGAGGAGGGGGATAAATGAGCCTGAACCTGTCACTTGTGCTGCCACGTCACACTGGGAAAACCAGGATGTGGGCTGGAAGTCCTCTAAAGCAGAGACCACTCAGATTATCAGCCAGGACTGTTTCTTCCATCTCCCCTCTCCTGGGATTGTCCTTCATGGAGTTCTTTTACATTCCTCCTTGCAGTTTGTATAATGAGTTTGCTCATGGTTTTTACAAATACAATGCAGGTCTCTGTGCTTTGTGGTTATGTAGCGATCCATTGTGTAATTCAGCTCTTCACAGTCATCCAGTGTGCCTGCCTCTTAAGTTTTTCAGTGCTACAATCCATGCTTAAAGGAGCATCTTTCTACTTGCTTTTTTTCCTATATTCTAATTGCCTTAAACTAAACTCCCAGAAAACACATAGACCTGAGGCTGGTTTTAGAGTAACGTTTTCTCAGCACAGGAGCTCTCCCCCATGCTCAGAGAGCTCCTTGCCATGGGTGTGAAGCATGCTGTCCTATTTAATGTCTCATGGAGCACCACAGCTCCAAGCCTTCCCCTCCAGGAGCAGTTGGCCCCGCAGGCCACATCTCTGTTGGAGAGAGCCTGACTTTTGTGTGAGTTGGTGCTGGCCCATTGTCATAAGAGAACTGCCCCCAGAGCTGATATTTCTCCCAGCATCTCCCAACACGAGGCTCCTGCCTGGCACCACAGTTGGACCCATTCTTATCAGGAAGCTCTCTGCGGTGTCTCCAAGACAGCAGTCTAGTCTGTGGTTTCCTGTGAACCACATCTAGGTGTGCCAAGTCTGTGGGATTTTCATAGTAGTTAAGTCAAAATACACAGTCACACACACACACACATGCACAGGCACACAGATACATAAACACATGCTCAGGCACACAGGCGTACACGGTGCCTTTTGATGAGCAACATGACAGGATCAGAGCCATACAGTATTCACTGTCCAGTTTTCCATTTTCCAGGCTTCTTTCCAGCATCTGTTCATAGCACACATGCTTTTGATTTTATAGTTCTAATGATAGCAGAGACGGGTTTTTTTTTCTGCTTTTCCAATTACCTGCTAACCATTTTTCCATGTTGCTATATAATTTTCATGATTACCATTTGCTGGTTGCTACGTATTTCATCGAGGGGATGAATTTAACCCTCTCTTTATTCTTGGACATAATCCATTTTCATTTTTTAACTGCTGTAATGCATAAGGGCATTCTTTCCATTAGCTGTATCATATACTTATGGCAGATTTTCCTTTTGAATCTTGGAAGAACTGGGACCTGGGAGTTGTTTCTGGACTTTTCAGATCCTTCTGCTAAAATGTGGCTTAGCTGTCCAGAATGGGCTCAGGTCACCCTGCATACTAGGTACTCATTTCATCAGAGCTTTAGGGGCTTTAAGCCTTGGGCAATTTTAATGTTAAGAACTGTTGATGCCTTGCTCTCTTTCCCAAGAGAACACTGGAAAACCCCTAGTTGATCTGGGAGTTGACATGCAGGTAAACCACCAAGCCTTACAGTGGTCTCACCCGGGAGCGTAACGCAGTTCTCAACGCTGGGGCTGAAGTCTGTGAAGTTTGTTTTAGCAAAGTCACATTGACCTGAACTCTGGCGGATAGGTGATTACCAACATTCCTTACCATCTCTGAGCCTGATCTCCCCATCTGCAGACTGGGGGATGATAATAGACTGTTCCTTGGGGCTCTTTGAGACTCTTATTAATAAGAAGTACTAAGCTAAGCTCAAAGTAGTGAAAAAAATTGTATTGGGATGAGAAATATTTATTCAGTTTTTGTTTCAGGAACAATGGCATTTAGGTACTGGGATGGCCGTGCTCCATGTAAATAGACTTTGGAAAACAGAAGTATCTTAGATAAAACCGCTGTGAGTTTATGTGAGTTTAGAGTTTAGTTCTGTGTTGGGTTGGTTTGCAGTGATGGGGCTGGGCAAGTATTCAACCATGGAGCTGAGCTGATAGCCCTAATTTTGGCTAAAAGCAGTGAGGGTGACTTGTCTCAAGTCTTTGAGATTGGTTGTTTCTCCCAGTATCTGCTCCATTTTCAGGAGAGGACAGACCTCCCTCTCCCCCTGCCTTTCTCTTCTGGGGCTAGTAAGGCTTCAGTCCTGACTAGCTTCTAACTTCTGGATGAGGGAGGGGCTTTTCTTTTATTATTATTATTATTATTAATTTGTCAGTGTAACACCCCATCCCTGCTTTCCTCCTCTCCTTCCTTTTTTTTTTTTTTTTTTTTGAGACAGGGTTTCTCTCTGCAGCCTTGGCTTTCCTGACTCCCTTTGTAGACCAGGCTGGCCTTGAACTCACAGAGATCCACCTGCTTCTGCCTCCCTGAGTGCTGGGATTGCAGGCATGCACCCCATCTTCCATCTTTCTTTATCATGGCTGCCTTGTGTGTCAGATGATGGGAGTTCAGGATTCCAGACCCTCGCGGGGTGTTGACTTCCAGCCTACACTGTAGAGAGAGGACCAACACTGCAGCTCCTGCAGGCCCTATGCTGGATCTCTTTGGAGCATCTTCCTGTTGCAGTCCTCCCTGGTCCCTTGGCTGGACTCATGTGTCAGTACATCTTTCAAAAGCTGTGGTACCTGCTACTTCTAAGCAGAAGGGCAGAGTCACTTCAGGGACCTCACCAAAGAGCACACAGTACAGTCAGCACCTGAGGGAGACCCTTCATCTGAGGCTCTGTGTGGGTGTGCACCAGGGAGTTTACATTATTTCTGCTTAGTGAAACTCTAGGTGAATGGTTCTCAACCTTCCTGATACTGCCACCCTTTATCCATTCATTGCTACTTTGTAATGGTGACTCCTGTGATGGGGTCTTGACCCACAGGTTGAGAACCAGTGCTCTAGAGGCCTTTAAAGCAGAATTAGCATATCCCTGTAGCCCCGCCTACAAACTGAAGCCAGCAAGAGCAGTTCTATTGTTTGTCTGTTCTGTAGTTATAACGCCATACCCATACGGGATGGGATCGGGATGGGATCATTTGTAAAGGAGGGAGCTGTATCTTGGCTCACGTTTCTGAAGTTTAAGCATGGTGTTATCATCTGTTTGGCTTGTGGGGGGCCCAGGTTGTGTGCTGCTTCACTCAGGACAGACAACAGAAAGGCAGGCGAGAGTGGTGTTAAGGGAGATCAAGAAAGCAAGCTGAGAAAGAGCGCCTCATTTTCATAGCCACCCACTCTTGTCTGGTGAAAGCCATATGAAGCCCTCATGAAGTCCTCTGAAAGCCTCCACAGTGACAGTCGGGTTTCAGCAGGAGTCTCAGAGGGGACAGACAGGGTCATTTCTAGGGAAGACCCTTCTCCATGTCTCTGCACTGGAGACCTTGGTTTGCTGCGGTGAGTGAGCCTCGTGTAGAGCCTAAAGCATCTCCTGCACTAGCAGAACAGCTTCTGTACTCTCAAATCTGTGTTCAGCACTGCTGGTAATAAAGGACAGTGGGGTCCTCAGGGCTGTGCTTATGCTCAGTCATGCCCTCTGCAGAGGAGATGGGCACAGAGCACACCCTTAAGGTTGCCTTTACTCTTGCTGAGGCCAGGAAGGGACCTGGAAGAACAGCACACGTCTCTCACTAGCCGGCCACTGCCTAATAGCTTGTTATGTCCTCTCCTTGGCACTGGAGCAAGCTTATCGTTAATACTGGTGAGCAGGGAGCTTGTGCTTACCAAGGCTTCTGGGCTGGGTCACACATTCACACTGTCCCTGATCCCTCCATCTTCTGGTTGGTCTCTCTCCATGTGTGAGAGCATGTGTATCGCCAACTACCCTAACTACAGTGAGCTTCTCACCCCTTCCATATTGTCTTGCAGCCTGCAACGTTTGGTACCTGAATTCCGTGGAAATGGAGTCCCTCACTGGTCATCAGGCGGTGCAGAAGGCCCTGAGCATGACTCTCGTTCAAGAACCGCCTCCAGTGTCCACAGTGGTACACTTCAAGGTGTCAGCCCAGGGCATCACCCTGACTGACAATCAGAGAAAGTAAGTGTGGGGTGGGAGGGGTGGGAAGGCCTAATGTCAGCACAGGGTGTCTTTTTCAGTCATTTTCCATTCTGTCCTTTGAAACAAGTTCTCTTAGTAAACTTGAAACTTAGTGTTTTGGCTAGAGTGGCTGGTCAGTGAGGTCCAGGGTTATGCCCAGTACCATGCCATGTAGGCGTGCCCTTCTCCCCCATCCCTCATGGGTAGTGTTGACAGCATGAGCCTGCTCTTCAGCCGCAAGGCTATTTCCTTTAAAGTTTTTTTGTTTGTTTGTTTGTTTTTTTAAGATGCAGAATCTTTTAAGTCATTACTTTAGAACCATTGAGATGGACCAGAATTTACTGGTCTCTGTTTTGGTATCATTACTTTCATGACTGGTGGACATCCCGTGTTGGTCAAAGTAACACAGTCTGGTACCAGGAGCTCTTGCGGCATGGGCATGGGACATAGACAGTCCTGAGCCCTCCATGCACCAGAGCCTCCCGAAGGGCCCCATACCCTGCAGTGCCTTCCCCAGGGCCACGTCTCTAAGTGAGACATTGTCTTCATCTTCCTAAGTTGAAGACAGACTCTCACACCCCCTGCTTTAGGATGAAGCAATTGGGCTGAGAACAGGCTCTGCTGGTCAGAGCCTCTCCCCATGCTTGAAGCAGATGACCCTGAGCAAACTCCTTAACTCTCTGATGTTTGGTTTCTTTTAGACCTAACCCTCAGAAGTTAGCAACTCAAATAAAAAGTGCAGTGGGCACGTCATCCAAGGCACCATTGACTCGCCAGTGGGCTCAGCCTTGGGAGAACCAAAAAGTTCAGTGGTCCTGAGCTGCCTCCCCTGTCTTCTCACTTGCCCCTCCAGTTCTTCAGAGCTTTTAGATTCCAGTGGCCACATTTTTACTCTCCATGGTGCTTTTTTGGGTCACTTATGAGAACCCTTCTATCCAGTTTCCAGCTGTTGATTGTTCACAAACACATACTCTGTTCTTCTCTCCAAATAACAAGTAAAGGCATCAGACAGTTTCTATCCCACACACATCCTACTTGGGAAATGAGGAACCTACCCAGTCCCATCATCTATAACCCTAAACCCTGGTGGCAGGAACTACCCTCTCTCTCTCTCTACCTTCCCATCAGGCTCTTCTTCCGGAGGCATTACCCTGTGAACAGCGTGATTTTCTGTGCTTTGGACCCACAAGACAGGAAGTAAGAATTTTGCATTTTTATAGCTAAAGAGTATATTTCTTTTATGCTTTAATTTTAAAATATTAACGTAAGTTCTTCTCTTCAATTCTCAAGGTGGATCAAAGACGGCCCTTCCTCTAAGTAAGTGACCAGCATTTCTTCTCTGTTTGGGGATCATCACAGTGCACAGCTGAACTCAGTTCTAGATTTGCAAAGAAGAGCATATTTAAGAGACCAAACTAAAGAAAACAGTCATTGTCTGTGGGCTCATTTGCATTAAACCGGAAGTAGAAAATAAGAGATAAGCGTTCTTATTTTAGAGCCTGGGTGTGGACGGTGTCGGCCTGTCCACTGCAGTGGTTTGGAGGCTCACTGTCTCCATTGGATCTGTAGTGTCCTTTTCCCTGCACACTGAGACAGATTTCTTAACCTGTCCATTTAAGAGCGTGACAGTACTGCTGAGGACGTCAGATCTTTGCATGTGAGCAGGGCTGAAGCCCATTTGAAACCATTCCCAGTCTCAAAACGTTTCTCAGTTTTGTACCTTTGGCCAGTGACTTCTCATTTCCTGCTCAGCACTTCCATCAAGACAGTCAGGGGAGCCCAATCCTCACCCTCCCCACCCCAGAAGCTAATGTCCGTGGTTACCAGCTTGGCTTCCTTTGCATAGCCTACACTGCTGATCTCATGTTTGTCATGTGCCGCCATCCCCGTCAGAGTTCTTCCTGCTCTGGAGAACTGCTCAGTAATAGCAGACAGCCATGACTTCACACAGGCCTGAGAGGAGTGCTTGGCATATTGGCTGCCTTGGTTGGGGTGTCTAGTCTTAGGTAGAGCTGGGAACTCCTCGTGCTCTTCCTGGAGTCTCTAAGACCCTGACGTTCCATGGGAGACCCTGATTATAACATGCCAGCTAGAGCTCAGAATTCCACAGAAGGTGCCTGGAGGATCCCAAGCAGAGCCTCGGCTATGATTCAAGGTGGAAAGCATTCCTCTAAGCTCAGTAGTCATTCTACCTGCAGTAGTTTCCAAGGGCCAGTGGCCAGGGTGGTGGCCAGGTCTCCCAGCTAGTGCTTGGCACATTGTAGCCTTCTGCAGGTGCAGTAGATACCACTCCCAAGTTGCTGCAGAGTGAAAGACAGGGCCCTGCGTGTGTGTTTGGTCCTGCACACTGTGTGGGCTCCTCTGACTTAGACTTGTCTCTTGCAGAGTCTTTGGGTTTGTGGCCCGGAAGCAGGGCAGCGCTACAGACAATGTATGCCACCTGTTTGCAGAGCATGACCCTGAGCAGCCTGCCAGTGCCATTGTCAACTTTGTGTCAAAGGTCATGATCGGCTCCCCTAAGAAGAGCTAAGCCCCTCATAGCCAGACCCGCCAGATGCCTCACAGGGCCCTCAAGGTGGCAGCCAGCGGGGCAAGGCGGGGCCCCCCGATTGGTACCAGACTGACAATCCTCACATTCCAGACCCAAGAGGGGAGAATATGGCAACCCTTTAAACCAAGAACAAACATCACCCCAGATTGGCCTTAAAGTAACTTCTCATCCGACACACCTGAATAGTCAAGACGCATTTTGAGTGGCCCGGGAAATGCCTCCACAGGGTCCCGCCTGCAAGGACGGTACAAGGAGGGAGCACAGAAGACTGAAACAGCCCTGAGTCCCTGGCTCATCAGCATCTGCGTGGGTGAGGAGCCCCTGTCCTGCTTGGCGGGGGCTGAGTAACCATGGCGCTCCACTTGTCAGCAGAAGCGCTCCGTCCGGCGACTCCCTCGTCTTGTCTTTCTACAGCGGACAGTGATGAAACTGAGGAGGGGATGCATGGTTAGTGAAGGTCTGAGCAGGTTGGAACATGGGGATCTAAGTTAGGGTACAGCAAAAGGGATGTGAAATGAGGAAGCCACTGATACCAAGGAGGAGGAACACGCAGTCTCAGAGAGCTCACTGCTGGTGGAAAGGAATCCACAATCCTGCTCTCAGGTAGCCAGCTGGGCTGTGGAGCGCCTAGAGGACTTCGAGAGGAAAATGAGAGGACAGAATTAAAAAAAAAATGCCATTTTATATAATATATATTTTACTTATGCCAAATTATTTATAACCGCTTGCCATTGCCATCCTGTACTCGTGTCAAATGCTGCAGCCGAATAAGCTGTGATTGCTAAAAGGCTTGTTCCCTTGTAGACACACCAGAGACAATGGGCCCCTCAAGGGGAAGAGGGACAGCGGTCTCAGGGTGACGTCACGCAGTCCATCTCTAGTACCGCCAAATGGATTTGCCTCAAGCAGCCTGCCCTCTACTTGGCACAGTGACGTGTCTTGCCCGGTGTGAATGGCTTCTTTCCTGATGAGAATATCCAGGAGAAAGGGGAGACTAAGACACTGGGATCCATCTCAGCCTCTTCTGCAGGGCCAGCTGGGCCATCTAGAGGCCTTTGTGATCCACAGCACATGTGGCCTTTCTAAGCTGTTACCATGACTGTCCTGTGGCACCTGCAGCTTCCATGGGGACCTCTGTGGGCGTCAGGAGGGAGGGAAGGGGGATGAAGGGCAAGATCAAGAGTTCTGGCTCTCACAGGCTGTGTTTGATTTGCTGAGTCACCTTAGCCACTAGTCAGATATGATGGGTCATGCTGAGACAGGTGCCCAGATGCAGGGTTCCTGCCTGCATCTCTGAGTGGTCAGAGATGTCAAAGACACCAGTGAGCCCAGCATTTCCCACAGTGGAGGTGGAGCAGGGCTACGTGGAGACAAAGCCAAGGTCTCCTTCCCAGAACCTTACGCCCCAGGAAGGCTCTGATCATCCCCGTCCCAGCCTGAAATCCCCGCTCTCGGCTTTCTAAAATCCCGTCCTAGCTTACACATCTCACAGCTGGGACAGGCTACAGTTGTCAAGGTGGGGATTTCGTGGTGGATTCTCTGTTTCAAAAGGGGCAGAGATGTAACTTCATGTCGAATTGGAATCAACTCTGTCTAGGGGTGTGTGTGTGTGTGTGTGTGTGTGTGTGTGTGTGTGTGTGTGTGTATACAGGTGGATCATACCCCTTTTAGTTCGTGTGTATCTGCGTGTATGCAGGTGGACCATTCCACTCTTAGCTCATGTGTCTGTGTGTATGCAGTGGGCCATTCCACTTTTAGCTCATGTGTGTGTCTGTGTGTGTATACAGGTGGACCACTCCACTTTTTAGCTCCTATTGATGCACCAAAAGCAAGTGCCTCATTTCTGTGCCAAATGTTTGCCTTGGTCCTTAAGGACCTCCTTCGTGGACACACTCTGGTGTGCCTGTTAGAGGAAATGTGCCACCGTTCTCTAGAGGCCCCATGTCTTCCACAGAGGCTTCTAGTGTGTTTTTTTCAGTTATTCCTATGCAGCTAAAATTCAGATGGGTAGGGGTGGGGACTGAAGTTTGTGCTCTGGCCAAGAAGTGCCACATCCTATGGTTTATATGCAAATGTGGCCCAAAGACCTCCAGCCAGGTTGCTTGTCCTTCTGCTGGAGGGGGAGAGGGCCTAATTAGAAATCCACTGGGCAGAGCTGAAGCACAGCCTTCCAATGAATTGAATGCCACCACAAAGGTTGGCATGGGGCACATCCAGGAAGCCACATGAGTATGCTTTTGAAATTGACTGACCAGGTCTGATCTTTACTCAAGGTAAAAGTGGTCAAGGGCATCAAGGGATTTGCTCTGAGGAACCACAGGAAGACAGCTCTCCAACTTTCTAGGAGCTGGTAGGACTGGGTTGTGTCTCTGTGTAATGTGTATATTGAACAGAACAAGATGAGACAGAGCACCATAGACTATACTGTGTGCTCCAAAGCACTGGGAAGGGACATTGCCCAGGCTTTTGCCACGGGGCCATCAGTTGGTATACTCTTCTGGGAGTGAATTCAGTGATGCCCACCACTTGCAGTAGATAGCCAGGGTCCCATTAACCTTCTCATTAATGGTTGTCTTATAGTTTCCAGTGTTGGGCTGTCCCCATGTTAAAAGCCACTGCACTTACCCTCAGTGTCAAAGACTTTGTAATGCCGCCTTATCTGTCTGTACCTTTTAGCACAGTTTTCACTATTCTATATTGTAAAGAATATATATCCAGTATGTAAATGAGTGTTCTATAAACCTTTTGTATAGGCATTTCCTCTGCTCTTTAAATATCAGCCTTATTCAGAGTATAATAAAAATTATGACCTTGGTAAGTCCAATGAAATGGGTGTTCTGTTTATTAAGTCTTCTGTGTGCGTCCGTGTGTGTACACCTGTGCATTTGCCCCCGTGTGTCTGTGAGGGTGGGTGCACACGTGCCTGCCATGTGCAAAGGTCAGGTGACCACCGTGGTGGTTGCTCCTCAACTCCCACCTTGTTTGAAACAGCCTCCTCTTGTTTGCCACATATGCCAGGAAGTTCTTCCGTGGACTTCCTGGCGTTCTCTTCCCTCCACCTCACATCTGGCCATGGGAGCGATGGGACTATGGACACAGGTTACTACACCAGCTTTATGGGGTTCTGGGTACTTGCAGTTAAGTCCTCATGCTTATCTGACAAATACTTTTCCCCGCCGGGACATCTACCTTGCTCCAAGCAGTGCGTGCCCCAAACTACGTTGAGTCTGTAAGTACAGTGTCTGTGTGTGTGCCAGCGTTTGAGTGTGGGGTTTTGTTGTTTTCTTTTCTGATATCTTATGTTCAACTACCTACTTACATGTTTTGCTTTTGAGAACATATTTTAGGATGACTGTCCAAAGACATTGGAAACCTTGTATTCAGATTATCTTTAAATTGCCAGACCAGGTATGGTGGCACACACTTGCAATGCCAGCACTTGGGAAACAGAGGAAGAAAGATTGCCTCAAGAACTAACAGTATGACTGGAGAAATGGCTTAGTGGTTAAGAGCACTGGCTGCTCTTCCAGAGGACCTGGGTTTGATTCCCAGTGGCCTCGTGGCAGCTCACAGTTTTCTGTAACTCCAGTTGCAGAGGATCTGACACCCTCATGCAGACATACATGTTGGCAAAACACCAATGCAAACAAAATAAAAGTTTAAAACAAAACAGTAAAAAGTGAGGACCCCCCGTGTAATCTTAGGACTCAAGAGGCTAATACAGAAGTTTGCTATGAGTTTGAGGGAAGTGGGCTGCATAATGGACTCCAGGCTAGCCTGTGCTACAGAGTGGGGCCCTCTCAAAATCCAGATACTTTTTAAAAAGTGATAGCAGTGACCTGTGGAGGTAACTTAGAAATAAACCTTTGCCGCACAGGCCTCATGGCCTGAGTTTGGTTTCTGGGGTGCAAAGGGAGACAACTGAAGTTTTCCTCTGACACTTGCACACATGTTCACACAGTATGATAATAAATAGCATCTTTAATGGATTGATAGCTGTGTAGAGGGGTGATGGCGGCAGTGGGCTGGTTTTGCTGCCACTGCCACTGCACCCCAGCTCCATGCTGGTTCCAGGAAAGGACTCCTGCTAGCTGTTTCTGCCTGCACTCTGAACATTCTAAGCATGGAGCAGCCAGGACACCCAACACTGCATAGCCCTCAGCCTTCCTTCATCACCTCCCCTGGACTGTGGATCTGCTGGCTTCTGCTCCCTTCAGCTGACCCCATCCTTTTGAGTCAGAGGTCAGGACCAAGGTCTATCCGCTAACCTACTAGGTAGGCTGTATCAGGCCCAGTGTGATTATGGACAGATAATAAACACAACTAGCGATTGCTCTGTGGGCCACATTTCCTTGTGCGGTTGGCCTTTGAGGTTTCGATGACAGTCATCTTATACCATCATCACATGCATTCTGCAGGAAGGTGGGCTTGACATGATGCAGGCGTTCAGGATTGAGAGCAGACAGTAGCACGTTCAGTCCCAACGGCGAGCTGTCAGTGGATCCCGGAAGCCAGTTACTGCCTGACATGTCATTATGGTTCCAGTAGGGTGTATGGTTCCAGCATAGATGTAAAAATCATTTGCTGAATGTGACAGCGACGCACCCTTGGTGTTGATTGCAGTGGCGGGGCTTTTAGAACAAACATAGTCATGTTTCTAAATCCCTGGGCACTGAAGATGAAGTGACAGAGGAGAGGTCTCAGTAGACAGGTCACGCCTCATGACCTATTGGGCCGGATGCCTGTACCTATCCTCTGAATCTAGTGTGGTGTGCAGTAGACACCCAGGAAACCCGTGCTGAGGTTACAAGTCATGGCTTCTATGGCTCCCTAGAGTTGAGTGCCACAAGAGCATTCTGATCGCCTTGATTAATCTCTTGAGGTAGAGTGACGGCTTCTTGGGCAGGCCTCCAGAAGAGGAACTGGAGTTCATCTTGGGACCTGGGGAATTAGCAGAAAGGATGCTTGATACCACAGAAACTGGCCATATCGGGACCCATCGGCCAACATGCTTGTTGAGTTAGCTAATGAAAATGTATAAGCCACAAATGACAACTAAAGTTACCAGAAATCAGACTACTCTGAAACCTGGTTAGAGGCAGTTAGACAGGGTGTGGACTCAATAAAATGACACCCACCAGATTGACCAAGATGTTGATGCTATTCCAGAGAGACTCCCAGGTGACTGGGAGATGCTGAGGGTCCTAAACTGAGAGCTCTCAACCTCACCAGGGAAGCACACCTTCCACAGGTGGAGAAATCACCACAGCAAATAGGACTTAAAGAAAACCTCTCCCTGCTTAGAATCATCTCCATGCGAAGCGGGAGTCTTTGTTGGCTAAAACTTAATTTCCTTAAAGGCATTAAAAACTCGCTTCTATTTTCAATGTGGTTGTGCTAACCAAAAAAGACACATACTTTCAAGCTTTTTAGAATTGCGTTTATTTGGATAAATCTGTACTGTAGCCAACTCTGTACTACATTCCTGCTTAATGGTATTAGCGATACCAGAGTTCAGGTTCATAGGACTTAATTTCTCTATTAAACCATCATTGATTATGGAAATAGTGTCCTAAGCAGTATGCAGATTAACAACATACTTTTATTTCATTACTTCTTTCAAGATAGTCACTTATACTCAGAAGAATAAGACAACACTCTAAATAAGATACTAAGAAAATAAGATGCACAGATGTATGTAGTGAAAGTAAAGCTAGGAGTCTTAGATATAAAAAAAAAGTTATTTAAAATGTCTGTTAAAGATTTAATTGGTTAAAAATGTAAGATTAAGAAAATAGAGTTGCTATTGTTTTGAGAGTTTAAGTAAAGAACAAAAAAAAACTGGGGATGGGGGATGGAGAGAAAGCCTCTCCCTGCAGAGGGCCTGACCTTCCCCTTTCCTACCGACAGATTTACAGCAGTTTATCGGCCCTGGAAAGCTGGGCTGGTTGAACTGTGAATGGAACCACAGCCCGCAGAGCAGGCCCTCACCTGCTCTCAGCATAACGAGGGTGCCATCCTCTCAAGTCAAAGATCCAAGACCCAGATGCTGCCAGGCTCGTTGTTAATAGGCAAAATGTCTGAAATGCCAATGGAAAATGACCTATCATACCAAGAAATGCTGACAAGGCTGAGAAAGATTCTGCCAACATCAAGATGCACCAGAGGCTAGATTTTAAAGTAGCCCTCATAAAAATGCTTCAGCAAACAAATACAGATTCTCTCAACGGAAAAGCTTTAAAAACCACCTAGATAAAACAGAGGCTACAAACTTAGAAATATGCATACAGAAGTCTAAAGTCAAACCTTCCTAGGAGCCCGGGCTTATGGTCAGAATGGAAAGCACGCCTCTGCAAGCACAAGGACTTATCCTTGAGCTCCACAATTCATGCAAAGATGGTGGGTCTGGTGACACCCAATTGTAATGCCAGCACTGGGCAGTGAGATGGGAGAGGGAGCTAGATAGGGACACGCTAGCTGGATGCTTGAGCTCCAGGCCAGTAAGAGACCCTGTCTCAGGAGAGGTGAATGGTGGTCCTGAGGATAACATGAGAGGTTGTTCTCCGACATAAATACAAACACACACACGCACACACACACACACACACACACACACACACTGACAGCAAAGTGGATGAGACAGAGGACAGGACTGGTGAACTTATTGGTACACCAGTGGAATTCAAGCAGACTAACACAACAAAAGAAAAAACCCTCAAGCCTGGAGGCCTGCAGACACTAACAAGAGTGCCAACCTACAGATCACTAGAGCACCAGGAGAGGAGGAAGACAGAGAACGAAACAGCACTTAAAGAAATAGTGGCCCCACACTCCGCAAATCTGGAGGAGGGGGAGTATAGATTTATAGATACAAGAAGCCAACTAAATAATAACCACCAAAATCTACACTGCAGGCTAAGGGAAATAATCCAGACATGAAAAGTAATATTTCCTACTTTCATTTCTTTGTAGACTCTAAAAGATGTAAAGACAGAAAGGAGTGTGGAATGGACCAAATATGGACAGTGAGAGAAACAATTGGAGTGACAATCAGAAAGGTTGTAGAAAAACTGAACAGCAGAAGCTCCCAGCAGTTTCTAGCTGACATACAGAACATCCCACAGAAAGAATAAAGTCAGGCGCTTTCCCAAATCCTCATGGAATGTTCATCAAAGCAGATCATGCTCTCAGACAGACAAAATTCGACAAAATTCAACATCACAGCGTCTGTTCTTGGATCATAAGGAATTATACTTGAAATCAATGAAGTGACATGGGGATAAGATACCTCAAACCACATAGATGCTAGAGAGCCCTCCTCTAAGTAGAGTGGTGGTGGGACCAAGGAAGCTTAGATGGAGATGTTTTACATAGAACGGAAACCAATGAATTCTGTAGCAAACTAGCACCCACTGGAGGTGGCTGAAGCAGAAATGAGACTGAAATTTATAATTCTGAATGCTTGTGCTAGAAATGAAAAGTCTTAACAGCAATGACAGGGTGTGGCCTGGGCTGGGCTGGGTAGCAGTGAGGCCTACCACCCCAGTCCATGCATGACCCACCCCAGATACTGGAATCACTATGCTCCCCCAGTGCTGTGTGGGGCCTGAGATGGACCTGTTTGTAAGTACTTCAGACAGCCATTTAAGGAGGCTTAGAAACATCCACCACCACTTCACAGGGGCTTCCTGAGGCTAGGAGACAAAGCCACCAGCAACTGGATAAGTCATATACAACCGAGATGAAGTTTAAGCAGCCTGGGCCAGAGAAGGCAGGTGCTAAAGCCTCCCTCTAGGTTATTTAATTTATCTAAATATAAAAGT